GAGCCTGGAATCTTCACACTGGTTTTGGAAACCAGGCCTAATGTTTTAAGTCATTTCACATGTCAGGATAGGGAAATGCCATTGCAATATCCTCCAGACATCTCAGCTGATGTCCCTTTCTAATTTGATGAGTAGAAGCAGGTCTCTGTACTGTATAGATATGATGGTATTCAACTTACATTGTGTATAAAGCAATGAAATAAAGCAAAACAGAATATTCCTCTGGCTCTATGTGTATCCTGAGGGCCTTATTTATGACACTGCTTCAGGTGTTAGCAGCTCTGCCTCTTCTTGCTGTACTGCATGGGAATCCAGTGAAGTGTTTGGCCTGAAGTGTGTCTTCCATCTGGTCAGTGTATAAAGTGACAGTGCAAACCCACTGAGATCACACGTCTTCACCATAATGTTACAAATGCCTCCTGTCAAGGGGCAGGGGATGGCAGTGAAGCAAAGCGTCAACAGCAGAAAATTTTACTGGACCTTTGTGGAAGGATAATTGTGCCAGGCCAGGGATATTCCAAAGGCAAGGGAACACATCCAAATTAAGCCCACTTCTCCCAAAAGTAGTATTTTTTTGCCAAAGCAAGGACATTTGTAATATTCCCTTCTGATAGAAATACCAAAATAGCTAATTTTATATCAATAAACTCAACAAAAGTACTCTTTCTTTATCTCCTTCCACTTCCATTTGTTTATATGAGAAAGTTGCTTTTTTTTTTCCTTCTAACTCATCTAAAAAGTGTTTCAGGAATGTGCAATTGTTTTTACTGAGATTTGAAATTCCATCCAGAAGAACTCTTTGCACAAATGCAAAGAAAAGGGGAAGATTCTTCCTTCAGGCTTCTTAATTCTCCCTTGCTATATAAATGTCAAGGAAAATCAGTGTGTTAATTCTTTCTGGCTGTGGCAAAGATTCCTCCAAAGATTCCTCTTTATTTTCTGCTAGTACTCAAAGATTTCTCTTATTGCATTATTGCTGTCCACTCCAATGGACAGCAATAATGCAATAAGAATCTTTGAGTACTAGCAGAAAATAAAGAGAAATTAATTTTTGTGCTTTTTTTCCCATGAAAATTGATGTGACTGTTATATCTGACTGGTTTTCAGATTTATCACCTTAAAGATTACTCAACCATTGGGCATCTCTTGAGACTATGCCAATCCTTTGTTTTTTGGGGTTTTTTTTTGAGAGTCAACTGTTCTTTTAAGCTTAGTAAATTCTCAACTTGCCAAGCTAAATATTCCAGACAAGGAGCTACTTGTCCAAAGTAGTTCTGCTATGGTACTTCTCCCTGACCTTTCAAGCAAGGGGCATTTCAGGTTATGAAACAAGCTCTCAGCATGTGAGATGCTGCTGGAATCTCAGCCTTCTTCCCTCCCCTTTCAAGCCATGCCTCTGCCACCTGACAGTTACTCATAGGGCTTGCCTTAAAGGTCGTTTTATGGCTGTGACTTTGGCTGCAAGACTCTTGGCACTCCTGCAGAGAGAGCAAGTGTGCTTGAAATCAAGTTTCTTACTTAAAAGCCTGTCTGTGCTGTTAAGGAGAGCACAGCTCTAACCTCTTGTTGCTCATGCTATTTCTGTAGCCCCTGTGACACCAGTTAGTCCCTGTTGCTCTTGTGGAAGAGCCTGACTGTACCAGAAAATGCCTATCTGAGTAATGTGGGAGAGATTGCTGCTCCATCTGCCAGGACAGGAATTGTGCCCAGCTGTAGACTTTAAAGATGTTACTTGTTTTGTTTCATACCAAAGCAGACAGCAGACCTCACTCTGGTCTATAGGCAGTCCATGCACTGACAGCTACTGTGTTTCACTTCTTTGAGCAGCTAGAGTTCAGCTTCATGAGATCAACCTGTCCATGGAACTGCCCACTTCCTCTTCCCTCTCCTTTTCCCCTGGTGTATGCCTTCCCAGGTAAAGCCTGGAAGCTGCTGAGGGTCTTCAGATGCTGCAGGAACTGCAGCTTTGAAGTAGGTGGTAGAGTTGGCTCTGCCCTTCTCCTATTCTCAGTTCCCAGGTGGCATCTTTCAACTGATCCTGCCATGACAGGGAGAGGAAAGCACCCTGGAAAAGTTAAGAGTCTGCTTCTTCCATGTGAGTTAGGAGATATTTAAAGGTATGGTATGTCTTCCTCCTAGGACAGGGAGAGAGGCTGTGTGGGGAAGGCATAACATTTAGGTTCTGCTCAGGGAGTTGTTTTGATGTCTGAGCTATTCTGAGATTTTTGAATTCACGCAATAAACTCAACTCCAATGCAAGGGTAAGGAAGAGACTCACCCATGATGCTGCTTTCCTTGTGTGGTGGAGTGGGAATCACAGGCTTTTCTTCCTCCTTCCAGGTCCTGGCAACTGCTACTGCTGGCCATGGCGAACATGCAGGACAGTTAGGTTAAAGTAGGCAAAGAGACCTTTCAAATTTCCAAATCAGGTTTCACATAAACCAGTTTTTAAAGTGATGTTTTCCACACTGTTGTCTCCCCATCCTGCATATCCTCTGTCTAAACAATAATCTTGAATGTATTTTTTTCTGCTATTGTATGGATTAGGATATTGTACCAACTTCCTACTCAGAAGAGCCAAGCCATTAATAGATAAGAACTTCTTGCCAGTGTTGAAGAGGCAACAACAGTGTTGTCTCTCTGCCTTGCCTAAGGAAGCTGGCAGCAATAATTTAATCAAGGCCTGAGCCAAAACAATAAACTCTGTTGTGCCTTTTGAGTAACAGTGGCCTGTTCTCAGAGGCAAAAAATATGGGGGAAGAGTAAATACTAAAGGCTAAGTGGGATGATTTGTTTGTCACTCTTATATTGAATACAGGTATGGATTTTTTTCCCCTCTGTTCCATAATTTCTCCTTCCACTTTGTTTAAAAGGCCAGAAATTGAGGGGTTTATAATTCAGTGAGCCTTTCATTTGTCAACATTCTCCTATTCTCAAGATTAAAATAGCACAGCTCCCTGAGAGAGGGACTCACACTGATAACAAAACCAGATTGACCATTTCTTACCCTGTTTTGATGCATAGGCTGGCCTCACACACACCCACAGAATGCTGGTTTTGCAAGAGGGCATTCTGTATGGCTATGGGTCACAGCATGTGATCAGACAGATTCCTGTTATGTGCCTCTGCTCCCAAATCACAGTGGAGTCTCCAGTATTCTGCATAATTCTTCTTTCCTGTGTTCAGTAACTGTGCTTCATTTCTGTAATGAGACTAACTGGCAAAATTGGAGAGATTTAACTGTGGGATATCAAACTCCTATGACACACAAGGAACCAGATTCCCATCCCTGTTTGTCTTTGGCTCAAAGATTTTATTTGTAACTGAGTACACTTGTACTTTGTACTGTAACATCATATTGTAAACCCTTCATAACCTGAGAATGTCAGCCTGGGCTCATGGGTATTTGCTGTCTCTCAAAAGAGTGAGATATGCTACAGCTGTCCAGATTTGGCTCTGGGTATAATGTAAAATAACAAATTTGTGAGAAGCTATTGTGTCAGTCTAATGAGTTAGGTTCAATCAGCAATACAGCAGACCTACATACACTTTGCTAACAGACATGAATATAGGACTGTGAAAGGACTGTGAAACTTCCTTTAATAAGTTTGCCTAGAAAATTGTGATTTGAAATAATTTCTCCTTCGCAGAGTTGTTAGCTCATTTTTGCCTGTGTAATTGATTTACAAACGCCTTTACTCTGTTAAAAAGTCATTTACATGCTTGACGGTATCATTGTTATCCATACTCCTCATGTGTAAGAAGCCTGACAATTAATGCTAAGCTTAATTCCACATGTTTGCAGAAGGAAGCCCGCAGATAGCTGTTAATTTCCCTTGGTACCCTTAGAAGCCAATATGTTTCTGCTATTTTATTTGCAAAATAAACACTGTACATTTACTTAATTATATTTGATGTCATAATTCCAGGGTTTTTTTTGGCCTACAGGGGCTTGGGGCCCTTGAGGTAGCTTTCCTCATTATTAGACAACAGTTGTATAGCTGTAGTTAGTAAATGATGATTGAATACATGCATAACAAAGCAATGCACAGCAGTTTCTGTAATAAAGTGAAAAACACACCTCTACAGTGAAAAATGTAATTTTCCAAAGGGAAAGCATGAAGTGCAACTCAAATTCAAATGTTTATTTGCTATTTTGTCCTCTCTGAATGAATGAATAATAATGTCTGCATTCTAAAAAGGAAAATAATGAGAAACAGCGTTCACAATGAAGTGAGACAGAGATTGTTGCTGCTTTTAATATATTTTTAATTTCAGCTAATGTTTAAAACTACGTTAAGGGCAGAAGTGACTTCCAGCAGGGTCTGGTCACACCAGTGACTATATCCTCATGGACCAAACCCTCTTGGCAGATGGATATGTTGGTCTCTCTCCTCTTTGTTTCCATGCACTTTTCAAAAAACCTCCAAAGGTTATCCTTTATCTGCAGCCCTCTACTCAACACAGGGCATCCTAGCTGCCTGAAACAAACAGTTGTCCCCATGGTTTTTTAATTTATGATTTTCTTTTGATCCCACCTTGGGTGATTGTTTGTCTTTGGTAGCAACAGTGTAAGTGAAAATTTGGAAGTCTAAAATATTTAAAGCACAGGTTCTTTACCCAAAGTCCCTGTACAGCAAAATTTGCTCCTGCACGTCATATTGCATATCTTAAAATGTAGTGTTGGCTAAAGAATCACATAATAATTCTGGTGACAGAATTGGAAGATATATTGTATGCAACCAGCTCTGTATTTGCTCAGCATATTTAATTACATGGTAAAATTAATTTATCAAGTTTTCATATTTATGCTTTGACTATTCATCATCAGGTTTCTGTATGCATTTTTGGAAGGGTCTTTTTTGGGTCTGGTCCAAGCACTGCTGAACTGCTCTGATTTGTTGGATATGTCACTGTAGTTGCAATGCTTTGCTGCTTTTTTTTTTCTTTTGCATTTTTATGCTCTGAAAGTAACATCTTTTTCTTTATCTTTTTTAAAGATAAAGACATTCCCTGCTGATACATCTAATCCTTTTTTCGATCCCTTTACAACAGTACCACAGTTTTCTGTAAGTAGAATGTGCAAATAAAAAACTGTGTTTTAACACAATTCCAACTGATTTTTAAAGTGTCAGAAATCTATGCACTAAGCAGTCTTCAAAAAAATTTTAAAAAAGATAAATTCCAAGTAGAAATTAAGAGTACGAAGCAGTTAAATATTCCCATTATACAAAATGTTGCCTGCATTCAGACATTGCTGCTTAATAGACAGAGGACTAAAAGTTAAAGGTCAAGGTTCACCATCAATGAAGTCAGTCCCAAAGTGTTCATTTCAGGACTGTAGAGGACACTGGTGAAGCTCCATAACATCTTTACAGGGAGCAGTAAGGGAATGGAAGGATTTAGTCCTCTGTCCAGCAATTGCATGGCCTCCTGCCTGAAACCACCTGCTGTGCCATCACAAAGAGAGCCCTGATTTTCATTGAATGTACAACTGAACTTTAAAGAATTATAGTTGGTGTGTGAATGACTACAGTGGTATCCTTGTGCAAACTCTCATGTTTACCCAAGGACTTGAATCCAATATTGAACTTCATTCTTGTTAAATATTCACAGAAGAAATGACTTAGGGATTTTGGTGAGGTAAACTGCGTACAAACAGAAAACAATTATCAGACAATTTAAAAAGTAAGTATGTTCGAAATCTTGCTTTGGTGGCAGAGGCATTATCTAATAACTATGACCAAAAAAAGTATGACAAAATTAACTACTCTTTAAGAAACACTCTGCTTATAAACGCCATGTAAAATGATTTATAATTTTAAAGTTTCATTTGCAAAATGAAGCATTTCAGACTTTGACCTTAAATTTTACTGGTTGCAGCAATCTATATCTGGCATATAATCCAAGATAAATTTCTTCATGTTAAGGTTCTGTCTGTATTTAACGATTTAAGGAAAGAGGCTTTTCTTTCACAATAAACCTGATCATGGGCTTTTATGTAAATGTGTTTTTTCTCCAAATAGGTGCTTTAAAGCCAGAGTTAGTTAGCCTTCCCAAGCTGTGTAAGTGCCACAGTTGAGCTCTAATTAAATGCATTTGAATGTACACAGGAACGTCACATCAATGTTTCCTTATGTCAGCCAAGTCCAGATCATAAAATTGTGATAAAAGCTAACCCAAAGTTACAATGCTTGTGTCTTTCACAGTACTCCTTTATCTAAGCAAAATTATGTGCCTCCCGAAATAGCTTTCTCACTAATTAGTATTGATTGTCAGATATTATTTTTTTGTCTCTGACAGTTAGGATGAAAGCAAAATTTAGGAGGGCTATATAACATACATTTTCATAATTGGGGGTTCAGAACTCTAAAACACAAACAGAAGATATACTGATATACTTACCCACAGAAATTTCCATATTGCAGAGAATGGCTATTTCATGGCAAATTCAAATGTTGAATTTTTGTTATGTTCTGTCAGGAGAAAAGAGGCAAAGCAAAATTCAAACTAATCTTTCTGAAATCCCATCTTGTCCCCATAGATTTCCATTTCCCTGGGCAGGGTGGAGAGAAAAACTGAGACCACCAATATTTAAAATACCATTGCAATAAAAACTGGATGATGTATGATCCATCACGTGACCCTGTACATTTCTCTTAGTGAGTTATGTACAAATATCTGTGGTGAACAAGCAGCTACCCATGGGACTGCACAGAGATGGGAAAACAATTAGAAGAGTTAGGTGCCTTTGGTCTGGTATTTCATAGCCCTCTCTCCCAGCCCAAAGGGAGGTGTCTCTCCACTGCAGTATTTTAGATCATCCTGATGCACTGCTGAGAGCTCCTCCTGCCTGAAGAGAGCTACACCACTGGCAGGAGCTCTAAGGGAAGGGTAGCTAGGACTTGCAGGAAGATCTAACTCTGATTGGTATCCACTCACATGCAGACCCAGATGGTAATGTTTGGTAATTGTTGGTGGTTTTTTTTTTTGTTTGTTTGTTTTTTTTCTGTTCTTGTTTCCCCTTACCCTCCACTTTTTTTTTTTCTTTTTTTTCCCCACTTGGAAGAAAACATCGGAATGTTATTGAGCAGGAAAAGGATTATGTATAGTGATGTTTAGAAGGCTTTACCTTTTGTATATAGCTCCAAATTTGGTGGTGTATATGCAGTTGTGTTGATTTGATCAGATGAAAAATTAGATTACTTGGTTACCTGTAATGTTTAAATATAATCTTCAACCCAGGAACCCTCTGAATTTCAGAGATTTCCATAGAAAAATGGCAGGCATGATGGCCATAATCTCAGGCACGTGTAATCCACATAGATTTAAATTAATGAAATTATATCTGTTTAGACCAGTTAAATATTTGGCTTAAGTGTGCAATCAGACGTATGTATAAAAAGATGCTTTGGATATCTACTGTAAAATCATCATCCAGAGCAGACACACTATGGGACTCAAGGCAGTTCTTCAGCAAGTGTAGCTTGTGATCACTCTGCTGATTTCAGTGAGGCTGGCAGAGTTTACATCAGCTTCAGAGTGATGTCTTCTTCTCATGCCGTAGGGTAAGATCTGGCAGTCCTCGGAGCACAGGGATACCAAATTTCATACCCCTGCAGTTTGTAAGGTTGAGTTTTAGAAGCTGAATTACAGAGAATTTTGAACAGGTCCTATTAGCCATTATTTACACACATGAGAGTTTCTTTAGTTGATTTTACATTTTTCCATTTTACTAGTTTTGTGGAATTAATGGAATTCCTTTTGCTTCAGAGATTATTTTGGATCATTAGAGATGTGTCACTTTAAACATGTTAAAAAGTGACAATAAGCAAGCAAACCTAACACAGCCAGTCTTTCCTGGGCTCAAATAGTTTTCCCACTGTTTGAACCAAGTATGTGAATCACTTGCAGAGGGTTGCAGAATTTGAGAAATAATTAGACCAAAAACAAGGTTGCTCTTGAAATAGCTGCTTTCTTATGATGGTGACTTTTCGTCCTCCCTGCCTTAGACTCTGAACCAAGTTCAAAAGAAATAGTCACCAAGGAAGAAAGGTAGGATTTAGATACCAGTAGGAGCATGTTTTAATGATCTTGACACACTGACAATTGCAGTTGCTCTGTATTCTTCCCACGTTAGGGTCAGACATGCACCACAGGCACTAGCTGCTGTGGTTTGGCATAAGAAATAGCCCACACCAAGAAGCAAGACAGGACTGTTTGATTTTTAGGGATCTTCCCATTCTGGTTGTAAAAATAGCCCTGTCTTTGCTATAATATTGTTGTGCTGAAATACCTCACCTAAAAGACAGGAGATGGTTGCTTGCTGCTTGTCTTAAATCTGGACTTCCAATATTGCTTTAACATTACATTTCACTGGATACTGAAAGAATATTTCTCTTGAGGCATGTTTCAGTTAGCAAAAGTGGGAAAGAGATGGAGATTTTGAAACCTGGACTCCGAAAAGCCCAGACTCCCAGCTGTTAACAAAACACAGAGTAGTTAGAGGACCCACCAGGAAATTGAATAGGATTCCTGAAGGATATTCCAGAAATCTCATGTTGTCAACATTCTGCATAATTTTTAGGGAAAATACAATAATGATAAGTGTCATTCTCCAAATTGACCATGTTTTTTACCTGAATGCTGCCAGTCCCATAGGTGTCACCTCACTCAGCTCATGTTGCAATCTGGCTGGTCCCTCAGGTATCAAAAGAGGTGGCTGTGGAGCCTCTGCAGAGGCTGTGCTGAGAGGTTATAGACACAGCCTCCCATTTGTTCTCATTCTTAGTTGCTGTTACTGTGTGCTTGGCAATGAATTGGAGAGTGAAGGATGACCAGTAGAAGCTAATCTACAATTTTTTCTTTCTGTGTGTGCGTATACATATTTTTTTTGTAGGCAGAATTTGCAGACAGCAAATTACAATGCTGTGGGGTGCAGTCATCTCCTAAGATTACGCTGGTGTCTCCATCACCCGTCCTGAGGTCTCTGGCAGAGACTATCCCGACTCCAACAGTGCAGACAGTATATACGTCGCATAAGCCCATTTCGCTGGCAGACAGGTACTGTGCAGTTCTTTCACAGAAATACCATGATGTTTTCTGCATTGAAGGAATCAGCTTGATTTCCCTTTTTCTGTCATAATTACCGTAAAGTGTCCTTTTGTCTTATACTGAAAGATTTTTGCTTGACTACTTCAGAATAGGTGGGTTATGTAAAGAAGTATCTGTAACTGATACTCATGCTCTGAGATAAAGAAAAGCCTACCTTAATTAGCTGCTGCAGCCAGCAGTGTACCATTTCTGTGACCAACGACCTGGGGACAAAGGGTTGTGCAGATTTTTCCTCAGGCAAGTCATTTTGTCTGAACCACAAAACTTTTGTTTTAATAACTGCTGTTACAATTTGTTTTTTGAAATTAGATGTCCATGAGGGAAACCTGAGTTTGAGAAATGTCTGTTCTTCTAAATGAAAAACAGGCATTGGTTTTCTTTCTTGTTCCTCTTTCTCTATTTTTTTTTCTATTTTAGTAATGTCAAGCTACAGTGGTCTTGTAATTTCTCAGAGAATCAACAAGCTATACCACCTTTTTACAGAAAGACTCTTCAGTTTTCTATTCTTTCATCCTACTGGTTTTGCATGCTGGCTTCTTATTCTATAATTTAACCAAAACTGAACTCAAGCTGATAATTTACTGAATATAAATGTAGCAGTGGATATAGTCAGTACTTCTGGAGCACAAATAATTCAAGGCTTATGAAGAAAAAAGTACTTCTTTGACATCATAATGAATGAATCTTTTATGCTTTTGGATTCACAGTCATTTCCTATTTTTGGTTGTTAATTATTTTTTGCAGCTGGTTAATTGCACCTGCACATTAATTCAACATTGCTTACTCATCTAAAAAATTATCATTCCAGTGAAAAAGTAATTCTGAAGCTGTAGTGCTGAACTCAGCTTCTGTAAGATGTCTCATGCACAAGTAGGTGATTCTACCCCTGCTTGTCCACAAATGGGCTGCAAGGTTTCTGCAATGCCATTTAAATCTCCAAACTGTGTTACAAGTGTGAGATACATAACTTTCAGAACAGCATAGTAAACAGTATCAGAAATTGAGTCACTAAACCAGGACATTCCCAGGGTTACAAATCCTCGGGGCTCTGGAGTGAATTGGTAGAGCAAGGAACTCAGGCTCTGATAATGGCATCCTGATATGTGCAGGACTGTGGTAAATTCAGCATAGCTATATATGTATGTATATAGATATCCCCCAATATCAGATTGCACCAAGGAGCAGAAGGCTGTAACAGTAGTCTATCATAATGGCATTTGCTGCAGCTGCTCCATTTTTAGAGTCCTTGTCCAGCTTCCTTTGAAATCAGTAGCCTTTAATGGGGGTTAGATAAAATTATAAACTGTTTTGCCATGTGGATCTTTTTATATCCTTCTTCTTGCCTCTGTTTGCTCCTCAGAAATAGCAAGCGATACTTGTTTTTGAATCAGCCATCAGTTATCAGCTTTTTCACTGAATTGTGTCTGACCTTTTTTTCCCCTTCTTTGGTATTTTGAAAATGTTAATTATTTTAAATTGAAATCTGAGACTTATTGTTGTTCCCATAATTGGCTGTTTGTGCATTAATTACACAGTGCTGAGACTCTGAGGCGTGAACTTGAGAGAGAGAAAATGATGAAAAGACTCTTGATGACAGAATTATGAAACTCGCACTTCCGTCAGATGGAGAATGGATTGGGGCCTTTCATGTGCCTTCTGTCTGTTTACATTCCTCTGCTTCTGTGTACTCAACATAATGCATCGGGAAAATGTGTGATATTCCTGGCTCGCCTGGATTCACCGCCGTTGGTTAAAATTACGTCTTGGCTAGACTTTGACTTGAAGGAGTTCCTTTATTCATTTGCTGCTGGGAAATAAACCTTCAATCCTTTCTCTCTCTTGAGATTTTATACTATTAACACAATTAATTTCTGGTTTGGTTTTGGTAAATCTAGGGCAAAGAGGATCAGCAAGGAGCATACTGATTTCTATTGGGAAACACTGTTCTGTACATATGTGAATAAGTGCACAGAAATTAATGTTATGCAGAATATTTTGATAGTAACATAGAAAATATGTCATTTTGTACAACTGAAAATTGCAATGAGCTACTGCTATTTGTTAAGAGAACCATTTTTAAAGCAGAAGAATGATTATTACATCCTAACCCCAGGACTGTTAGTCTCCACAGAATAAACGGCTGTCTTATTAAATTCCTAACCTTAACCTTCCCTCAGAGATATAAATAGCTGCAACTGGGAGAGACACTCCACCATACAGATACACACACCCAATACTTCCTATAGCTTATCACCTTGACCTAAACCTTCAACAAAATCTTACTGTATTTCCATTAATGGATGAAAAAATCTGTTGTTTAAAGTAATTTGCTACTGACTTTCTAGCTTGATACTGACTTTTTTAGAGCAAGTGAGGAGCTTTACCTTCTCCAGTTTGCCTAGGCTTTAAGGCTAGCCCGCGCTCAGACATCTTCTGCCCCAGCACTGAAGGTTGCAGAGCCTCAGCGGTGTGTAGCTCACACAAGAATTTTTTCCTTCCTGGGTTAAAAAACACCTTCCTGGCTGACATCAATTGATTGGTCCCCTTCAAGAACAAGAACGATGATATTTTAAGGCATAGCTGTGCCTATACCCATATTTTTAATTCTACTAATCAGAGTGTATGGCCCAGCAATCCTGTGCTATACATCCCGTTCACCTCCAACACCCAAGCAGCCTCTACATCCAGTGGAGCTATCTCAGGCATGAAGTGGGGTGGGTAGTCCAACACTAGCAGAGCCACAGCCACAGGGAGGGAATTGATGGGATACAGGTAACGCTACCAACTATCTCCTAGGGAAAAAAAAAAGGTCTCAGCTTCCCCTTGTTCAGTAGCGCAGGGTCATCTAGAAAACTAACAATATCTGACTGTCACCTACAAGGTACTCTTTCAACAGGAAAGGTTTTGTGCATTTTGTATGGCTGAAGATGTATATTGTTCTGTTACTCTGTACACTATGTTCTCTTATTTGTATTAAGATAAAATATTGCCCTTCATTTGGCACTGATTACAATGGCTTTATCTCAGCTTAAGCAGTTTGTTTGTGTGGAGGCTGGGAAGTGATTGCTGTGAGATTGGATTTCCTTCAGAGTTAGCTTCTGCTGTTTTTCTAAAAGGAGAGTTTTGGAGACCTTCGTAAGACTGGATTGCAGTGTGAAGGTATAAAATGACTTGTCTATTTTATATTTGCTGGGACAAAAATTAGCTTTAGGCTTCCCATTTAAATCCACCAAGCACAAAACTTTCTGGTTGCCATAAATTAGGTCAAAATACACAGCACAACTGTTAGGTAGAAAATCACATTACAAAATTTAATCAAGTGGTTCAACATGAGCAGTGGGCACAAGGAGCCACAAAAACACACCTGGACTGTAGATTTAAGAGCATTCCAGTGACTTTTCTGGGTAATCAGATATGACTTGTATGCTGTCCACCTGCTAGTTGCAGTGCCAGGACACTTCTGTTCCTTTTGTTTTAATGCCCCAGTCCATCAATCCAGGGTTCTCAAAAATTGATTAGGAACATTAAATCCCTGTGAGAAAATTGGAAAGGAGGGGGAAATGCACAGACACAAAAGAATGCAATTTCTTGTTACTCTTTTCTCACCACTTCCCAGAAGGTATTGGTGAGGGAGAAGCAGCAGCGCATTTTGAGTGTGTCCAAGTGAGAGTGAGCATTTTGAAGAACAAATAAAAGAAAATTGTAACTAGAAATGCTGGTTTGGGAAAGGAAATGAAGTAAGGTTGAGAATGGCACAGTGCTGACTGAGAATGGCCATTGTGCTGACTGCTCAATCTGGTTTTCTGTCTGTTAGGTAACCCTCAGTTGTGTTTGAACTGGCAACAGTTTCACAAAGTCATTGTCAAAGAAAACCCAGAAAAAAAGCCCCAACCAAACAAACAGAAAAAAATCTGAACACACCCTTCAGTCATACTGATTGATGCAGTGGACTTTAGGAACCCCACAATATGCCCTCAGGTTTGGGGGCAAAACAGATCCACGTTAGGACTTTCTGGTCACTTAAAGTAAAAGCCTTTAGCAAAACTGAATTCCTGAGTCAGACTAGCCTATAAGATATTCTGGCTCATAAACAGTCTAAAACAGTGTTGTTTTTAATGCATCATTTTTGCTCCCATTGTATAAAATTTCTTCAGCTGAAATAATCAGAACTGGAACAGAAGTAACGTGAACCAAGTTTACTTTATATGGCCAAATCTTTATGGCTGAGGCATGCTCTGGGATAGCTGAAGAAGGGCAGAGATTCCTCCTTCTGTGGTTCCCACCAGGAGAAGAGGGAAAGGCTCATGTGGCTGCTTAGTATTTGTGGGACATTTTCTACAGAACAAATCTAAGTATGTTGCCTTGTTGTGTTTTAGTGTCTTATCCACTGGCTGCCACTGTTTCCTATTCTGCAGTCTAATGGAGCTTTATTAAAACTGTTTTACTGAAATCAAACTAAACTTTTAACTGTGGAATGTCATCATCTTGTTCTTTCTTACTACGTACCTTCTTCAGCCATGCTTGAGCGTCTCAGTTTTCACATCCTCTGAAGAAACACTTCTGCCTCACCTCTGGTTGGGATTACAGTGTTAGGACACCTGTTACCCAAAACTGCTGTGAACAAGACAATGTCAACATGAACATATTGCAGAGGGGCAGATATTGCAGATTTGCTCCTATAATTTAACTTTACAGGTGTTAAAGGATACTCTGCCTGAAGGTATGTCTATATAATAGTGCAGAAGTATCTGAGCTAGCTTTAAGCTTGCATTTGTAGTTGTGGCAGCATGAAGCCCAGCACAGGCTATCATTATCATGTACATTGACATGTGTAAAGATAACGCATTTGAACAGCAGCCTTCTGAAGCATGGGCTCCAGAACTGGTGACAGAAGAGGGTGGCTGAAAGGATTTTGTCTCTTCAGCTCTCCTGGGAAAGGGTTCATCTCATCTAACATTAAAATGCCCAGCTCTCACCTGGTGAGAGATCAAAGGATCTGTCTTACGGAGGTGCCTCTGACTTTAGTGTCTACCTTTATACTGACTAAAGTTAAGTGAGATGAATCCTGCTTTCCCTCCCTCTGGCTAGGTCTACATTGCAAACCCTTGCTGACTCAGCTGCATCATCCAGGGTTCAGCTTCAAGGTGTGATTTGGGATCGACGTAGCTGTGCCAGCGAAAGCCCTGAGCGTTAGGTGTAAATAAACTGCCAGAAATATCCTTTTGACAGAACAGAGAGCTGGGATAACAACTTACAGTGACATAAATGCAGAGGCTTCGCTGTAGTCATGCTCCATCTGGGAGTTGGTGAAACCTCCTGCTATAGCCACGCTGGCCAAGCTAACCAGGGGTGGCCCTGGCTTTTCACAGTGCCCCGAGTGATGCTCCAGCCCCGTCAGCAGATCCCAGCTTTTCAGCGCCAAGTCTCTAAGCAGCGGAATGCAATGTTGTCATGTTCAGGTGATTCCAGCAAAATTTATTGGCCATTTAAATAGCTATGCAAGGAGTGAAATATTTTCTCATTTTGCAGTCTCTTATGGAAGCCAACCAATTGTGCTTTGTTTTTTTGTGTGGCTCAGCTGTTTCCACTATTTGTTTTAAAAGGAATAACTGAGTTTTCTTTAGAAGTGTTGGTTGAGATTCCACACCTCTCTCAGATCCCATCGTGTGTGCAGACTTTTCATGTTTCATAGACCCTGGAAGTGCAAAATTTGAAAATTAACTCCTCCAAAATTTCAGTTCATGGCTTCACTCTCTTGCAACAGGATGCCTACGTGCCCATTTGAAACAGAGCTAGCAATGCAGTGAAACATTTCATTGGAGGCAGCATCATGTTTTGTTTGAACTGTTTACAAATAGCCTTTGCTTTTATTTATTTTTTTTTTTCCTGAATACACTTCTGGTTCATTTGCTACAAAAAAACCTACTTGTAATTATGCAATGGAATATTTTTTCTTTTTTTCTTTTCTTTTTTTTTCTTTAATGTCCTGATGTTCAAGGAGTTTGCAATAAATATACTGAGACTGATCTGTAATTGCATGTAAGATTAGCCTCACAACTGTGTTTTGTAAAGTTAAGCGCCGTAAAAGAAGCTGTAGATGATGTGGAGAAGGAGGGAAGATAGAGAGCAAGTGGAGGCTTCTTTGGCAGCTGCAGCATGGAGTGGTGGGTAGCAGCTTTAAAGCAAGACTGCTCACACCATTTTGTTTCACCTGAGTAGCAGCATGTATCATCAGACAGTGTATGATGGCATTTTGTTGAAAACATGCCTAAAGAGAAACTTTTACGGCTCCGCTGTTTACCTGTTCCTGTATTCATGCCTGCAATAAAAGAGATGAAAAATAAATCACAGAGTCTGAGCAATTTGTAGTCAAACCAGTCATTTAGGAGGCAAGGGGCAACATGCCAATTAAAGGAAACATCTGCTTGCTAGGAAAGTGGATCCACCATCATATAAAAAATTACAATGCAAATTAAAAATGGAGAGATAACTTCTTCATAAAGCCTAGAGGGTTTTCTTCAGTTAAAGTTATAGTCTAGTGTTGTGGGTGCCAATCATCTGTGGGGTCATTAGGTGGAGCACATTTTGCTGAATACCAGAGCCAGAAAATACTGGCAGGATTAAAGCAG